AAGGATAAACCCAAAAAAGGATAGGGATCTGAGGGGATATGATGGCACAGAGATAGGCCTACACGAGGATAACAACAAAATGTGATACAAATTTAATCACACAACTTATAAGACTAATCTGAATAGGATATTCTGAAATATGTATATAAGAAGAAAAGAAAACATAGCAAAATACTTTAAAGACTCGCAAAACATGCGAATATGTCAATAATCAATACATAACCAAAGTATGACGTTCAAAGAAGGAAGCCCTAAAGATTCTGAAGCGATATGCCACATCTGTATGCAATGCGAACACTTTCATCATCCAATCTAAAAACAAGAGTATAAACATAGGGTTGTGTTTACACAAACCCTGAAATTCTAGGATTTTGTTCTAAAAATTCTTGAATTATGGACTGCGACGTCTTCTATTTCATCTTAACTATATTTTCCTCTTCAAAATTTAATTGATTTGAAATAGATGTGATCCTAGTTCAAAAAATTGTGTGCGTTTTCGTTGAGAGTCTTCGATTTTCTGGAAAACTATTATATAACTATCCCACTTTTGAACTATGATCGATATGCAGTCAAATTTAGCTACTAAACTTACCTAACGAGTCCGTTCAGCAAGGACGAAACCGGTCGTAAGCCTCTCGTTTTTGTATCTAAATCAAAAATCTTGAGCTTCTGTACACACCCGCATGCACAAATAAAAGTCATCTAATGAGTCACTGCAACGAAAATGAAACTGGCTCTGATACGTACCTCTACATATTATTCACAAAGGGTATCCATTAATATAAGAGCACGTTTTAGAAACTGTTCACGAACTATATCCTTGAATTCGATTGACTTCACATTTTGGCAAATCACAAAACCAAGGATATAAACATAATCGTCTAACATCAGGTCTGTTTAACGTTTTATTAGGAACTTTTCTCAGATTTTTATCACGCAATTTCAAAACAACTTTCTGAGTTTCACGACTCGTGTTTGAATAAGTTCAGCTTATTCAAAACATAACTAAAACACATATTGAAAAACTTTCTATTTGAATATTCTCAGACTCCAACACTTTTACTTTTTATTCATCAAATCGCATAGCATCGATGACTGTGTCGATGTACTATGAGGAGAGTATCGAGGCAGTCCTCATAGACGTCTCTCCGGTTCACGAAGACAAGCTTTGGCCTGTCACAGTGATATGCGATAATATTTCTTCCATCATAACCTCTACAGGAGCCTGAGCATTGGATTCATAAATATAAGCTAATCTTATGATGATAATAATTTGATAGAAACAGTTACATCTATGTATGGTGAATGTGCCTATACGGAGTGCCTATCCAACAACATGGAGCAGCATCAAACTACTACTGAAGAAAAGTTTCCTTCTGCTTTTCACTGCGATGGGAATCGAGCGAATTATATCCAGAAAGTTGCAGCACAGAGAAAGTTACCATTAATTTCTGAACCTAAACTTACCATTAAGGTGCATAGAGCCTTTCGCGTATTACGAAAAAGAAGCTTGTTCACTTTAAACTATATTTTAGGTAGAAGCCACTTTGCGATTCGACTGCATATTTTTTTATACTCAAAAAAAGGCATACAGGGGTGTGTTTATCAGCTTTTATGTACAACTTTCTCTCTTTCGAAACATTGAAGGAAACATGAGTACAAGTGTAAAGAAATATAAAAGAATACCTCAAGGAAATCAAACGAATATAAGATACTAAAACACTGATATGAATCCACAAAAAGACAGAGAGATGAGCTTGATAGGAAAACTTAATCATCCACATAGATAAATACACGAACAAGATAATAACTTATAGTAAAATCTGACTGTAGTGTAAATAAGAACAACCCGACAAAAAGAAAAAATTGCAATTTGGGCCTCATCTAACCACAAATTGAACTGAACTACTTCGAAGTCACGCGCAACAAAGAAATATTAGAAAAAGCGAACCTAAACTCAGTATCCCCTCAGACAACTGTAGCTTACAAGAATCCGAGAGTCAAAGCGAACCGTGCGTGAACACAAAGCTCATCGATAAGCGAATCCCCAGCGCAGAAATTGAAAACAATCATCACCTCTCCAAGACCACTAAATTACGCAGTTTTCAGTCAAAATATTTTCAAATTATAGGCTGCGACGTCTTCTACTTCATCTTAACTAACTTTTCCTCTTGAAATTTTAGTTAATTTGAATTAGATGTGATCCTAGTTCAAAAATTGACGGCTGTTTGTTGAGAGTTTTTGATTTTCTATCATTTGCTCTTACATAACTTCCTCTACTTTGAATTACGATCGATATGCAGTAGAATTTAGATATATATTCTTACCTGATGAGTCCCTTAAGCAAGGACGAAACCGGTCGTAAGTCTCTCGCTCATATATCTAAATCGAAAATCTTTGAGCTTCTATACACACCCACACCCAGTTGCTCGCTAGGACACTTGCTAGTATGGGCAGTTGCTCGCTAGGACACTTGCTAGTATGGGCAGTTGCTCGCTAGGACACTTGCTAGTATGGGCAGTTGCTCTCTAGGACACTTGCTAGTATGGGCAGTTGCTCGCTAGGACACTCGATAGTATGGACAGTTACTCGCTAGGACACTTGCTAGTATGGACAGTTGCTCGCTAGGACATTTGTTCATCACCCTCACACTCATCCCACACCCTCACACCCATCCGACACCCACACCCACACCCCACACCCCACACCCCACACCCACACCCTTATAAATTCCAAAACCTTTTTAAATCTTTCGAACTTAAAAAGGTTTCGTAGAAGGGTTAAGAAACAATTTTCAATCTACTTAACTTAAAATGGTTCGGTGCAAAAATGCAAAAGTTTTGGAGTTCAGTAAAAAAAAAAACTATTTTTTTTAGAGTGTACCCACACTTGCATCTAAAACTCAATACAGGCGAGTCGAAAACAAGATATAAATCACCCTCGTTGCAAGCTTTCATCTCCTACTTATTTTGAGTAAATATGAGTTATTGAATGCCAAGTAGAAGACAAAATTTGTTTCGCAAACTACTCACAAGAAAAAGCTTCGCTTACTCAACGAATAAACGAGTTTAATTGTTAATATTTTAAAGTATTTCGTCGCAACAAAAATCAAATAAACATTACAGCTTCGAGGCATACGCAGCAACGGCATACTACTTGTGCAACGATTGCATCGAACTCAGAAAGCATACAAAAAATATCCTAAGGGGAAATACATCCATTAGAATTTATGCATACATTTTTAATAATTTATACTTGTATAGATAAAGTACATATTCAAGTTAAATAACTAAGCATATATTTTGTTAGCGTAGTCTTTTAAAAAGAGTTGTATGTTCGTTTGGATGTGAGTGTGAGCGTATGTATGATTATAGCTATGAGGATGTTTTTATTATCTCTGAACTCACATCTATCCCCTGCATCCACACTCGTCGTCGTTTAAAAAAATGATTCGAATCCCTTCGAATGCACGGTGCCCTAAAAAATAAATAGAAAAGAAAACAATTGAGTACCGAAGTTATTCAAGGAGAAGAACACTCAAATTTTTTACATATATATACGAACTATATTCAGCCATTGATCAAACCAAAGACTTTGTGAAGTGGTGAAGCTATATTTTTAGTGTAAGTTGATTTTTATCACCATTCCATCTTTGTTCATTATTTCACCGACAATACAAGGCGTGCATATTCTTTTTGGGAATAATAATAACAATTACTTAAATCAAACATGGAGACCGACGTTTCAGTTCATTAAATGAAAATTTTCTACTTCTCCAGTAGTTTTGCTTATAAGAAAAATAGAATGAATATGAGTCAACGAGGAACAAAATCTCAAATAGTCATGAAGTTAAGGAAATTTAATATAAGATAAGCTGATTTGGTGAGAGAAAAACATTTCTGTTAGAGTAGCTCTATTTTTCATGTTCCTGAGACCGAAACTAGTAAACAAAACAAATATTAAGCTTGCTTTCAAACACAACGGGATTCAGACAAATACAATGTACAAAATTAAATGTCGTATCATTTCTGCAATGAGAATTTCACATGTGACATAATAGTGGACTATTAAAACAACAAGAAATGAGTTATTAACATCGATGTGCTGGTAGACAGGTTTTTATCCGACCAAAAAACTAAAACACAACTTTATACATGGAGATTGCAATATAAGATTGCCGTCGATGTAACACAATAAATATTGCTGCTAGGAAGGGATTTCATGATTAGTTAGAAATCGTAAAACGTTAACATCACGTAGCTTCCGGTTTTTTTAAATGCTGGATGATGTTTGAAGTGTAACTGTTGCACATCAAAAATATAGCAAGGGGTACTCAATTGCACACATACGAATATCTACATAATCCATACACTCTAAGAAAAAACTCACTCACTGAATCCTTTTTAAGTTCGGTAGCAGATACGGAACCCAAAACGGTTCTTTTTCTGGACATATCAGGAGAAGTTTCGCCACCATACCATTTTCAGATCTTTAGGAAGCGAAAATATTCTGTATAAAAAAACCTGAAGCCATCTTGCTTCGAGATGGAAGGGTGGGCTGCGGGTGTAGGTATTGTTTTATCTCCTGATGCCTATTCACAGCTGGCACAGCTACACCCACCGTATCCAGGGGGTGGGTGTGGGTATGGGTATATAGGGTGAGCGTAGGGTGAGTGAGAATGTCAATCTAGTTTTTCTTTTTGTAGTCACAGTCAGAGCGATATGCACATCTATACGTACATTTACACCCACACTCCACACCATCACCCTATGCCGAATTAGACATTTCGGAAGAGATTCAAATTAAAATGGAACCTTTTTCCAAAAGTTTTACGTAGCATCATATTTTATCTACTTTTTAGATATTCTCGACGATACGATAAGTACGCTGATTGTATTAACTACTCTCATGTGAGTCATTCTCGATTCATTTGAAATATTGAATACTAGTTTATTTAATTGTTCAGGTGCATTACAAGCATAGCAGGTGCACAAAATTTATCATTCATATCGTGATCTCTGTATCTTGATTATTAAACAGGGNACTTCGCATTTATCGACATTTAATTTAAAATTTGCTTCATGTAATAATGAACATACTTCTTCAATATGTTTTAAATGTTCATTAAAATTTTGTGAGTAAATAATAATGTCATCAATATAGGCAAGTACATGCTTCCATCTATTTGGACCTAATATTTGATTAACAATACGTTGAAATGTTGGTGGTCCATTAGTAAGACCTTGTGGTAACACTTTAAATTGAAAATGCCCATCTCGAGTTGAAAATGCTGTTTTTGGTCGATCTAATTTGTCTAATGGTACTTGAAAATATCCAGCTTTAAAATCAAATTTCGTAAAATATGTTGCTTTTGTTAATTGATCGTAAATATCATCGATTCTTGGTAGGGGAAAAGCGTCTTTTGTTGTAATTTGATTCAAACGACGATAATCGACACAAAATCTTGTTGTTCCATCTTTCTTTTTTACTAAAACGACTGGTGAAGACCATGGTGATGTTGAGTGTTCAATAATTCCATTTTTTAACAGTTTATCTGTTTCTTTTCTTAAGGTTTCTTGATCTTTGTTCGATTTTCTATATGGTGGTGTATGAACAGGACGGTGTGTACCAGTATCAATAGCATTTTTTTAAATTATGTCAATTTTTGATGGTTCACTAATGTCAAATAATTTTCCATATTTCCATAAAATTTTTAAGATTTGTTCTCGTTGTTTATCATCGCTAATATGTTCAATTAATTTATTTATTTGTTGTCTTATTTCTTCAGGATAACATTGGTTTCTAAGATGCTTGAATAATTCATTGCTAGTATCAAAATGTTGATAACATTTACGACATTGATGTTGTTGTCCATATAACGCTGTAGTTGGCAAGTTGTTAAAATTTAATTTATTCGACGTATTCGCTCCTTTCCCTTCAGGAATGAGCACCTTACACGCTTTTCCTTTTGGAATGCGTTCCTTAAACTGATCCGATGATATGGTAACACCAATTGTAGAAGATAATTGTGTCACTATACCTAATTTGGTTCCTTCGGAAAGTGTTTGTTGCCGGTTCGTTGCATTAATTATGCTAATTTTTATCGTTCTATTTTCAATATTGAGTAATGCATTTGCAGTAAATAATGCTTTGTTGTTTAATCGAGAATTTGGTTCAAATAATACATCAGTCATATTTTTATGTTGAACTTGTGCTTCTACTATTTTTTCTGAAAAAGGAGGAAGAGTAATATGATTAATAAGAGTAGCTGGATAGTTTAAAAGAGGTGGTTTTACAAAAGGAGTTGATACTTCTTTACCTCGACTTCGGATCATAATTCGTTGTTCAGGTGTAAGGATGTAAACATTATTTGATTGAATCCAATCACTTCCTAATATTAAATTCGTAACAAGATTTGTTGTAACATCCGCAATTACTGTTGTTTTAATTCCATTAATATTGATTTCTAATGGTATTTCTCCAATAATATTTAATGTTGAACAATTGGCTGATAAATGATTTTTCGTTGTTGATGTAAATTTTTTGTGTGAAATTTTATTTAATAAATTTTGATGTATGATTGTGATGGCTGATCCTGTATCAATCAATGCTTCTTGTGGAGTGTTGTTGCATAATATTTTAACAAAAATGGGATTAAATGCTGTTGTAGTTGATGACTTTTTTGCTCCACAGGGATCGTCGCCATCATCCGATCCCTTTATTCGAAAAAATGTTGTTGAGGACAATCACGTATTTGATGATTTGATTGTCCACATTTAAAACAGCCGTTGTTCTTCTTATAAAAACATTTGATTGTTGCATGATTGTTTTTATTGCAAATCAAACATGGATTGGATTTTCGTATTTTATTTTCTGGATAATTTTCTCGATGTTGTTGAGGATTTGTAAACTTATTTTGTTTTGGATGTGTTCGATTGTTTGTTAATGATGGTAGTTGTTGATGTTGTTGTTTGTAGTAATGACGTGATGTATAGGGCTGTTGACTCGACGATTGAATATTCGATGATGTTGGTTGTATTGTTGCAGTTGGTAATATAGATTCGAAAAATGTTTTATTTTTTGTTTCAGAATATAAACCATTACGTTGTTGTTGAATTCGCTTCTGTACATATTCTTCTTCTCTGGCAACTTGTAGCCATTCTTCTGGTTTCTTAATTTCTTTTTCATTACGAATTAAATATTCTTTTAACGAATTTTTAACACCATTTTGTAATACTGTAATAACTTGTTGTTCAGTAATAAATTGTCGAGATTTTCTATATTTTCGCATAACATTTTCATAAAATGATATAACAGATTGGTTTTCTTCTTGACGAATATAAAAAAATTCTTGCATTAATTGACTATCTGATGTAAATTCTTTGAATCGATCTCGTAAGGCTTTTTCAGTGTCATTCCAATTAATGAATGATCTTAAGTTTTCTTGATACCATCGTAAGGCTGGTCCTGTTAATCTGCCCATTGTTTCAATAATTTTTGTTTCATCTTTTAATTTCATTAATGAAAATAAATTATTTAAATCAAAAATCCATTCATCAATATCGATTTCATCAGCTTCTCCTGAAAATTCAGCTATTTTCTTCATTACTTCTTTTTGGCTTGAATAAATTTGTCGAGCTTCCATCGGAGTTGCTTCCATTTCTTGCATAAATGACATATCGTTTTGTTTTTTATTTCTTATTCGTGTTGGTGAATTGGTAATTAATTCATATGATAAAATATTTGCTCCACTTTTTTTTATCGCTCTTCTTGTACCGGTAGCCGTTGTTAGATATATATATATATTTGCACTTAAAGGAAGGACAAAAAATTTGAACTTTATATATAAGAAAGATACCTTCTTATGATAATTAAATTTTAAAATTAATTTGTATGTAATTATGTAATTTTCTCTTTCCTAGGAGGATGAGATAGTATTTCACTCTTTCCGTTACGGATGAGCGAATTTATTTAACCAGTTCGTTCTTCTTCGATGTAGTAAATAGAAGAAGATGGGTCACGGCACCAAATTGTTAGCTCGTCGTGCGCGAGCTTACGTTTATTTATTATATCCCCTCCACCATAACAAGTTCACACTATATATAACATAAAAAAGAGAGGAGAGAAGAAATAAAAGAAAGAAAGACAAAAAGAAGAAAGAGAAGAGAGAAGAGAAACCACCGGTCCAGGGTTTGACCGCTAACACATAGATACAGCAAGCTTTTATTAAAAGCAACGATAAAACAAGACAGGTAACTTGAAGATACTTAGGGTAAACCAATAGTTCTGGCCACTAGATATGCACCAGTCCAGTCGGACTGGTACCCAGTCATGACTGGTTCATCCATCATTTGATCTTTATTTTATTAAATGAATAATACTTCCCTCTGCTTTTTCACATAATAAACTGATATGAACCTATTAAAGATCTAATACGAGATATATCATAGTATTAGTTGATTATTCTTGTGTTACTATGTGTGAACTGTGGTCTCATATGGTATTATAAAATAATTTCCTAGATATTCATAAAATTTTTCTCAAAAAATAGATTCGATATAGGTGTTTTATTATCTTCTGTTTGATCAGTATTCAATTCCGAAAGAAAGATTTCTGACTGATTGTAATCAAAATCAAAACAAAGTGGCTCATATAATTCAAATATTTGAAGGCTGTTTTCGATCCAAAGAACTATTGATCTATTTATTGTCAGTATGAAAGACACTGTTTAGTGTTTATTAATCTCAAATGATATTTTTATTTTATTAAGAAATCGTAAAACTAATATGCAGAATTTATTATTTACATAGAAGATGAAATTATATTACTTTAGAAATTTGAATAAATAATCGAAATGATTGAATATATATTAGATGTGCAACACGTGAATAATCAATCTTAACGTCTCCTTCGGATAAAAAAAAGTACCTTTTTCTATTAGCTTGTTCTCCTCTATAATTAATTCATTGCTATATCTTTATTTTCATATATTTATATATATCAATTTTAAAAAAAATAACAAATCAACATCAGCTTTTTTTATATATTCTTTTTTGTTACTTTGATTTTCTTTTCGTTTGTTGTTTTTGTACATCTCTTATTTATTCTATTCATTTTCTTATATACATTATGGTTAGTTATGACAGTATAGTTTCTAAAGTTAGGATGATCTTATCTAAAAGACTTGTACACTATCGACACATTTTATTACGTCATTTTATGGATAATCGATGTTTGTATTTTAAAAAATTTGATGTTCTATTTCATCTATGCATGTGATACTGATATCAATATGTTGTTTGCTATTTTTGTCATATTTCTCTGGGTAAAAAGATATTTATAATGCATTAATATTTAATAGAATAGTCAATTATCGAGCAATATCTGTGTCCTGAAGTATTCTTTCACACTTCAACCTGTTTTGAAAGGTGTCTTTGAGTGTCATTAAAATTTTATTCACCACCCTGTCAGACAAAATCAGTAAAAAAACGCGTAAAAACGAACCCTAAAGACAAACGCGTTCCGATTCGTAAAAACCGCACATTTACGTACGTTATGAACGCTATGTAAATTTGAACAGGGTTTTTACGACATCGGATACTTATATGCATTAAATCATGAGATTTTCACCATTTTTTGTTTCATATAAGAGCTGCGAAAGGGTCAGCTCCTGAACTAATATGAACTGAAAGCCTTTTGAGAATTACTGTGTGACAGTAGGAGATGAATTACTTTCTTTACGAGACTGCGAGATACTTGCAGTGCTTTTTCACAGAAACTATATTTTTTGACGTTGAATGTTTCTTTCAATAATAAATGTTTTGTTTCGAAAACCATTGGCACATATTAATCGACATATGCAGAAAAGTTTCGATAAAGAACACTCGCTATTGAAAGAAACAGTCTATGGCAAAAAAATATACTTTCTGTGAAAAACACTGCAGTTATTTCATAGGCTCATGAAGAAGATGTTTCACATTGTGCTATCACACAGTAATTCTCAAGAGACCTTCAGATCATATTGGCTCATGAGCTGACTCATTTGAAGCTCTGTTGTATAACAGTATTGCTAAACATTCGATAGAGCAGTTAAATATGTTCTATAGATAAGATAGGCAATGTAAGGCATCATGATCATTTGAAATTTATTTGTGATTACTCGAGGGTACTATTATCCTAACATCTGTACACCTATGTTACTACTCTTAAAGTCCTATATCTTTGTCTACATCTGCATACTATTTTATATCTACATATATCCTTATCTCTATATCTTCATATGTAGGATGCTTTTATGTTCATATTCTTATATATGTACTCTTGTTCCTATAGCCTTATGTATCCAGTTTTATAATTTCTTATTCGTAAGTGCCGAAAACCTATACCTATGTGGCTTATTCATACACTCTTATGCCTATCGAATCATATCTATGCTATAATTCTCGTGTTCTTTCTTGCATGCTTATTTCTGTGTACTTAGTTGTGTAGTATTATACTCGTATCCTTATATTTACAATCTATATATTAGCACATCGATACGATATCATTATGTCTATGTATCTGCACCTTTAATCTTAGACCTTTACTCAATTAGATAAATTTTCGAACCTTTTTTTTAATAATAATCTGATTTATTTTAAACTAGCTAACTTAATATCTTGGAGAAATAAATATATGCGTAACAATTTTCTCTATATGAGCGCCATCTATTAATTAATTTTGAAGATGGTAAAAATGAGTTACATACCAAAAAGATTTTCAACCAAAAAGCGGAAAAGAATCATTTTCTGGCAAATAGCTTGTGTAAAAAATAATATTCTGTACTTCTTTGTTCCAGTTCGGCTGAGCTTTATTACAAAACTATGAGTTCATGAATTTTTTAAAGAATGTAGAAGAAAAAAAGAAATATAAATTTTCATGACATGTCAATTTGATAATAGGAAGAATCAGAGATAGATCAATACATAAAGAGAAAGAGAATGAAGACAATAAGAACCAAAAGCATTATTTTTATCCTGTTTACTACTAATAAATTATGTTTGAAGAAAATTGAAGCAACTAGGATTGATAAAATACATATCTGCTGAATGAATTTTGTATGTAACGGATGGGCCAGAATAATTGGCCCTCTCGGTATTTTACTAACATCCCGTCGAATTTTGATCTGATTGGATTGATCTCTTTTTTTTTAAATTCAGCGTTTCAACCTCTACAAACTTAGGTATTTCATTTTTTTCGCACCAATATAGATAAGTTTTCCGATCATGAAAAGTAAAGATTTTCAGAAGATCGTACTTTCAAAGTATTAGAACGATGATACTTCGACAAAAATTTATCGTGATTTAAACGGCGCAATGGGTTTAAGAACAATTAAACGATGGTGCCAAATGATCCGGCAATTTAGTGCCATTAAACTATCAAGTCCACCTGGGTGCCCACGTTTGGTCAGGACAAAAGCAACTATTCAGAAAGTAAAACGACGTTTACGCCGGAAAATGCGAGTATCAGCTCGAAAACTGTCGATGGAACTTGATATATCGCGTACAAGTGTTCGACCAATATTAAAAATTGATCTAGGGCTTTTACCATATAAGAAAGTAATCGAACCATCACTTTCTGATGATCAAAGAATCAAACGGAAAAAATTTGCAAATTGGGTTCGAAAAAACTTCAAAAAGGAGGACACAATGAAAATTCTTTTTTTCGGATGAGAAGTATTTTGACATTGATGGTGTCTAAAATTCTCAAAATGATCGAGTGTGAGCAGTCAATCATGCTGACGGTAATGCAAATAGTGGCGTCAAGCAAAGACAAAAGTTCCCACAAAAAGTAATGGTTTGGCTAGACGCTTGTTCCAAAGGTATAACACCTTTGGTAATCTTGGATGAAGGAACTGTCGACCATAACGTTTATATCGAAAAAGTGCTTCCCGTTGCATCAAAATATGGGGATCAAGTTTTCAGTGACGACTGGATCTTTCAACAAGATGGCGCCAAGTCTCACTCACATTATTTAACACAACAATGGTGCCGAGAGAATTTTCCATCATTTATTGACGATGATCATTGGCCTTCAAATAGCCCAGATTTGAATCATTTAGACTACTGCATTTGATATGAACTTGTGAAGGCCATTAATTGGAACAAGGTCAAGTCAAAAACAACGTTGATTCAACAATTAAAGTCGTCGGTGAAAAAAGTTCGCGAATTGATTATTTTTGAAAGTTGTGCGAGATGGATCAATCGACTGTATCGCATGTATCAAAATGATGGAAATTATTTACGTTAATAAAAATAGTGTATTTTTGTATAGCTTGAAACGACGCATCTTTTAAAAAAAACTTTGGTACAATCAGATAAAAATTAACGAAGATATTGAGGAAATACTGAGAGGGCCATTTATTCTGGCCCAGCCGTTAATTATACAGCCTTCCAAGATGTATGACTACAGAATTGTTCTTCTTGATTTCAGAACTGACCAACAATGTAATATACTTTTTTCAAGCTGACTGTTATATTGAACACGAACGGGTTAAATTGAGTGTGTTTGAAGCATAACTTTAATTTACATTAATGACTATACTACAGTAACAGAGTATCTGTAGTCAACTCACGACTTTAAATTCATGAAGAGTCGAACAGTGCTTTTTTTTTGATAAAA